AGTACCGCCGAGAGCATTAAGACCGCTGCGAACACGGAGACCGATGCCGAGCCGTTCACTATCTTGTTCGGCAATATTACAGAAATGGGGGCCACATATTCAGAATTTGGAGAAGGACTGAGCAGCAAAGAGTACGATTGTCTGGTTTTCGTCAAGACACACAAAGGACCAAGCGATATCTTGAGCATAAAGAGTTTCTTGCAGAAAGAGGTTTGGAAGGCTGCGGTCACCCCCGCGGTCCCGAGTGACAAATCTTAGCACGGGCTCTCGGGGGCTGAAGTGATTGCAGCACGGACTCATATCCAAGCTGCATTTCTTGAGCACTGGAAAGGTAAGTATGACGAGCATGGCGACACGGCGTTCGTCGGCGTCTCCCCCATGGTACTACACCTTAGCGCGGGCAATGTCATCCTCATCGCAGCGCACCTTCAGCCGAAGTTGAAGTTCACTTGGAGGAATAGAAAGATTATGGCAGCCCTCGCGGCCTTCGTGAGGATGCAGAAGGATCTCTGGCTCGTACTTGCAGATTGGAACTGTTTACCGACTGAGTTACTCACGTCAGGCTGGATCGAGCAGATGCAGGGTGAGATCGTCACGGGCCCCGAGGAGGCTACCTGCGATAAAGGGCAAGGATCGCTCTACGACTACGGAGTGGCATCAGCTGGGTACAAGGGTGCGCTGACCATCACGAAGGCGTTAGCGGTATCATGGGCTACGCATCGTGGGTTGAGGACTCAGATGGCAAGTAAGAAGCAGAGATAGTGACACCGTACTCTTGATCTCCCCACAGCGCCACGGACGACACAAAGAGCCAAAAAGCAACGTGACCCCGAAAGCAAGAGAAGCAAGCAGAGGGACAAGCACTTACAACGACGGGCGGCCTTGGAACCGGATCTCAGAGACGGTTTCGACTTGCTCGGTCAAGATCCTGAGCCAGCGGCTCCGGACAGATCCCAGGCGAGCGAGGCGGTCGGTTCATCTTCGTCTCCTCCTACGACTGCTCCGTTCGCGATCGCCGGCGACGCGTGGGAGCACGCCAAATTGGGACTGTCTGGCATAGGATCTTGGCATCGCGCCGTTCCGAATCGTCGCCACGAAACCCAACTGGATCCCAGGTCCCAGGGGCCCCCAGGCCAGGAGGCCCACCGTCAAATAGCTCTGCTGCGCCAAAAAATAATTGGCTGAAGCGGCGAGCCGTCCTGAGTCTTGGGACCTCGGACGCTGCCCCCAGCGGGGGCTCCTGGAGGCATTGCGTCCCCGCGCCCTTTCCAACGCCCTCTTGCAAGCCTCCCACGGCAGAGGCGCCACCAGAGATGCGGATACGAGATGAACGATGGCGGCCGCAGACTTATCGGGAGCGACCTCAGTTTGCGCGGCAGCTGGCGACTCTCTACGGCAGGTGGATCACTACATTGGAGTTTGCAGTATTGGGACACTCGGAAGTACCATCGTATCAACGAGACGGCTCTCGGGGCAGGGCGAAAGGGTTTGGCGTCACATGGAAAAAGAGCACGGCAGCACCAGGGCAGCCTCACCTTCACAACCCAGAGGCAGAATGGTGGGCGACTGCCCCCACACACGTGATTGCGATCAACGGCCTGATCAAAGATAAGAAGGACCCCGAACCGCTGGCAGAGAGAAAGCAAGACTTTCAAAAACGAGTCCAGCAAGTCCACGGCGTCAGCAATCATAAGAAGGTCGAGGTCACCAACCATTGGCAGCAGCACGCAAACGACATATTCAGCCCAGTCAAGCAGGAGCGTCAGGACGTGATCGAGCTTACCACTGAGCTCGCAGGCGAAGCAGCACGACGGGCTTTAGCAGATGGGCGCTAGGGCTTCATTGCTTGGGCGAAGGACATGTGGAAGAATACGTCAGGGGCATTACATCGCTGGACAAAGGACACCCCGCCACCCCGCTTGGAGGAAATGGTATCGGGCACGACGGTGGCGGACCCAGTACATATCATGCAGCATAAGAGCGACACCTGGGCGGACAAGTGGACTGCAACGCCTTAGAGGCAGGGGGCACTCAAGTCAGCACTGCAATTATGTCCTCAACGAGCTCAGCTAGAAGAACTCCCCGAGCTCGGTTTGCAAGACTTCGACGCGGCCACTAAGCGGATAGGGGTAAAGAAAGTTCGAGGCGTCGACGGCATAGGCCCCCTGGACATCGAGCGGCTCCCCGACCAAGTCAAGCTCGAGCACCTGCGCATCATTCACGAGCCGGAACTCAGCCTCATGTGGCCCCCGCAGATCCTCGGCACTATCGGCGCAATCGCAGGCAAACTAGCAGGAGGTGATCGAGTTCTGGGGTTACTACCTACGACAGTACGGATCTGGTCCCGCATGCGGTCAGGCGTAGTGGATTCATGGACGCAGCAGCTAGAGGATCACTGGGACACTGCGCTCAGAGGGTCGTCGGCGTTGAGGGCCGCGCCTTTACGCGCGACCCTGGACGAGACAGGACAAGCCATGGGGATCGCGCGCGCAGAACTCTTTGCGGACATGGAGCAGTTCTACGATTCTCTGGATCTTGGTTGGCTGATAAATGCTGGCATTCGGTTGGAATCCCCACCGACTGTTATGGCTTTGGAGGTGGGAGCTTTCTTGGGACCGAGGCATCTCAAACGTGCTGATTGGATTCGACCCACAATCGACCCGACCTGCTCCATTCTAGCAGGATCGGCTCAAGGCGCCAGATTTGCAAAAGTTTATGTGTTCCCTCTCCTTGATGCAGCCCAGAAGCGTGTGCAGGCAGCTGGGCTTTGAACGCGCGTCGACGACGCCGTGGGCAGAGTCGAAGGCCCCGAGGAGGTAGTGGAATACCAGATGGCGGAGCTCGCGGACGAGTTTACTAAACAGGCAGCAAGCAGAAATCCCAAGATTTCACCTAAGACAGTACTGGTGGCTCCGAACCCTCAGCTACGACGACGGATTTGGAAAAAAGGTTAGCACAGCGAGGGCTCCCAGGCAAGCACCAAGCGAACATAGTCGACCTGGGCACCGACGTCAGCGGCAAGGGCAAGCGTTCCCAGAAAAAGGCTAGAGCACGACAAAGGAACGCTAAGCAGCGCGCGGGCAAGATCTTTCGGCTACGACGCATGGCCACCAGTGTCGCGAAGATCACACAGGGCCTCTTCTCGACGGGTGCGGCACCTCAAGCTACGTTCGGGCACGAGGTCTGGGGGGCCACACCCAGTCGGATATTACACCTTCGACGGATGGCTATGCGATCGGCTGCGGGACCAGGCCCAGGGCGATGTATATCCACTGGAATTGCAGTGTTATAGCATCTCAAAGACCCAGGTATATCCCTACGACGGCAGCTGGTTAGCGGGTGGCTGCACCAATGGCTTCTCCACCCAGAACTGTACCAGCGAGTGCGGCAGTTCTGGGCAGCTACGTACCGAACCCTTCTTCGAGCTGGCACTCAGATGTGGCATGAGGTTCATGGACCCGTCGCCGCTTTGCAGGCGACTCTTATCACGGCGGGGTGGAAGCCAGTTCAATCAGCATTATGGAAGCGACCCACACCACAAGGAGACGAAGAAAGGATATTACCGTTTATAGACCAGCAGGGCAGATGCGATGTGGACGCGATCGAGTACACTCAGCTCCTGGAGGATCTCGGGACCGACTTGGACACGGCGAGGTGGGAGCAAGCGGCCACGCACCTACACGGCGAAGGTTTGTGCAATGGAGGCGACGTCTGGCATATCGGCAGAGAACAAATGCGGTGCGTGGACAAGGCTGAACGGCGCGATTGGGCTCTCAACAACGTCGTCGTTACAGGTGGACAATGGCCAAAAGTTAGACAAATCCAAGCCGGCTACGAATGCGATTCTGACATCTGCGGTCGGCGCAAACAGGAGCCACCCTTTTCCACCGTATCTACAGATGCCCTTGTAACCAAGGAAGTGAGGCATATGAGAAGACAGATTACCTTGTGACGAAAGCTTTGGCAGGAGTTGATGCTAACCCAGCGTCATAGTTGCGAGATATTCCGCAGAGAAGGAGTTCACACACCCGATCGTCTCCGACATCGACAGGCAGGACTACGTCAGATTTGGTTCCTTCGGGCAAGCCAGAGTCACTGGCAGAAAACTACACATTTTCGGAGACGGATCGGGAGGAGTACACGGAGCAGATCCCCGGCGCAGAAGGGTCGACATCGGAGAAGCAGCCATGAAGATGATCGATGGGGCGTGGAACATGACGGCGGGCACGATGGCAGATCTACTTGGACGGCGGCAGACGGTGCCTAGGGCAGAGCTCACAGCTTTCGCGATCGCGATCGAAGAGACTATTGGAGATATCGTCTACATCACGGACCACTACCCGTTGCTCAACGCTTGGAATAAAGGCAAAGCTCGAGACCCAGGACGCGGTAATAATGCAGATATATAGGCGCGCATCAAGCGAGCCATCATGGAGAACGGGCAACGGCGCATCGAGGTGGGGTGGGCACCCTCCCATCAGGACGACGACGAGGCGGAAGTGGTCAACCCGATTTTCGCGGTGGGCAACAGCTTCGCGGATGCGCTGGCGACAGTGGCAGCAGAGCCGTCTTGGGAAAGGGTATGTCAACCGCTGCCGCGCACGGACGAGTGGGATGCGATTTGCGTCCATGTTCCACTCTGAGCACGACAAGCGCTGGCCGACTCAGCGGACGCTGATCCTTGGTGTGCCGAACGACCCTCGACAGCCAAGCTCAAAGTAAATATTGATAAAGCAAGAGTCATGGCCGAGAAGTCAAAGCACGACATGGTCAAGCTAAAGAATTAATGGTTTTGTACGGTTTGCCGCCGTCTCTGGTGCTGCTGTTGGGACTTCTGTGACCCCGCTCGTGGGCTCGGTGTCCCCTTCGCCTTGCACCCTTCGCTTTTTCTTTGGAGCCGCCATTGCCAACTTGGCTTTCTCGTGAATGTCTTCGATGTGCTTGAACTTTGCCTGTGGCGTGCCCATCTGCTCCTGTTGGAACTGCTCGAGCTCTTTCTTTCACTGCAGAATGCTCTGCATCTCTTCGGACGTGACGTCGCACTCCTCGAGGCCCTCGAAAAGCGACGCGTCGAACTCGAACTTGACCTTGAGCGCGCCGCTGTCAACTTTCTCCTCGGGCTTGACCACCTCTGTACCTGAGTCCGAGTTGGCCTGCGCCAGTACCTCCCACTGCTGCTGCAGCGTCTCGACCCGCTGCTGCTCGAGCTTGGCCATGTACTCCTCTTGGTCGTCCAGGTACAGTTGCGCATCGACGAGCTTCTTTCTTTGCCTGCCGATGCGGTGATCGATGTCCTTGAGCGCTCGGTTGGCGTCGCCGAGCAGCTGTGCCCCCATGCGAGGCTTGGGAGGCGCTGGTGCTGTCTTGGCTGCCTGTTCTGCTTGAGCCTTGCGCCGCAGCGTGTCCATGGCAGCCGTGATCGTGGGGTCCGTCTCGTCGCAAACACCCTGGTAGGACGCCAAGCTCGCGATGAGGGAAGTGGTGGAGAGCGGGTCGGGCAGCTGCGCCACCTCGTCGTGCTCGTCTTTGTCCTCCCAGTTCCAAGAGTTATAGCCGCAGTCCTGCCGCCATGGTGCCTTCTTCCTCCACCCTCGCCCGGAGCTTGACCAACCCGAAGAATACCTCTGATTCTCTGCCCAAGCTCCTGACAATGGCGGCGGTGCTCCAACGGGCGGCAGGAGCTTGGCCTTGCACTTGAAACACTCCGTCTTGTTGCTCCAGTCCCATTTGTAGCCGCAAGCCTTGCAGCCGATGAAACCCGCTGCCTTCCCATTGCCGTATCCCATGCCGCTGCACAAGTGGATACGAGAGTGCGGTCGCGCGCGCGCGGGTGTGCTCACCTGCGTGCAGCAGGAGGCACGCAGAGACCCGAGGCGAATCAGGTCCCGCAAAGCAAGCGGGGTATGGCTCGGTTTAGAGCTATCCGTTTCAGCGTGGAGGCAGCTGCTCCCAGCATTGAGTCTTGAGCCATAATGGCTACGGAGGAGGAGGAGGAGGAGGAGGAGGAGGAGGAGGAGGAGGGGAGGAAGAGGGCGGAGAGGCTCGGGCCGCGAGGCGCATGTCCGGCAACGTCTCGAAGCACGTCGCCGTCGTGCACGAGCTGTCGCGCATCATCGAGGACCGGGGGCCCAAAAATATACACCACCACCACCTCCCTCCCCCCCTCCCTCTCGCTGGAGGGAGGAGAGAGAGGAGGAATCGGCGTGGTGGTGGTGTATATTCTTTGGGCCCCCAGAGGACACCAGCCTGCTGCAGGCCTCCCAGCTGGAGCAGGACCCCCGTGCCCTGCGCGCCTCGCGCGGGGGCGGACCCCCCTTCCCCTCCCCACTCGGGCCGGACGAAAGGGGTTACGAAATCTGCTGCGTGCAGCTGGTTTCAGCCCCACCGAGGAGCCCATTCCTCGAAACATAGCCGCCTCCGGCGCCAGAAAATCAGTTACGTGAGCTGATTCTGAAACTCCTCCTCTGCTATCCCCCCCTTTCGCCCGGCCCGACCCAGGCTAGCGAGCCTCGCCCGCGCCCTCGCCGTGCTCAGCTCTCGCGTGGGCTGGAGGTTTGCCGCTTGTGGTCGAGAGCGCCCGCGGTGCATCCGCGGCCGCTCCGCGGAGGTTTTACTCGAAGGAGGAACAATGACATAAGCATAAACTTTCGGAGCTTTGCGCGGATTCTTTCGATCGGCGCCCTGACCCCCCTGGCGGCTATCCGGCGCCGCCCCTGGCGCGCTCCGCGCGGCAGGGAGGGGGTCCAGCGCGGATCCAAGAAATCTGCACGGAGCGCCAAAAGTTATGTTTATGGCGTTTTCTCTTCTTGTCGCTGCGGCGTAGCCTGGTTGCGGCGATGTACGGGCGGCGCGCCTTCTCTCAATGGCGAGTTGGGGCTCACTGGAGGCGTGCCTTCGCAACCGTGCTGGCGTGCCGGTGGGGTCGTGGTGCGCATCTTCGATGTGTCGCGTGTCCGCGCCAGCCCATCTGAAACGGTTCTTAGGCGACCACTCGTGTCAAGGAAAGTGGATTGGGCAGCAGTGGGGTATGTTCGTAGATCGTCGCTGCGATGTTGTAGCGGGTCCATGCTGTAACGCTGCATGATTGTTGCGATGCCTCACGGGCGCCTCTTAGCGGCCTCTTCGAAGCTTCTTGGGGGCATCGTGCGTTTTTCGGACACTTTGGGAGCTTGTTGGGGCCCTGTCGGAGGTCTCTTGAAGGCTTCGGATGCCATGATCGCATTACTCTCAAAAATATGTTGTGCAAGCTTGTCACAACAGTATCACAGTCAGCGGTCGTGGTCGCAGATGGTAGGGCCGGCATTCTTCTTGAAGTCACATGCTTACACGAGTTTGGATTTTGTGTTCGCGGCCAATCAGCCATGCAAAGTGTAAGTTTCCGCATTGTTGGGCATTTGCTTTAATAGACAGGCACATGTGTATCTCATCCCATTACGCTCTATTGCCTCCACATCGGCATTCGGACAGCCTCTTCGGGAGTGTAGGGTTTGCCGTGTTGCCAGTATTGTTCCCCTCCGTGTGATGTGTACATTCGCTGCTGGGCATCGTGAAGCCAGCGTCGTGCTTCCATAGGGGAACAAAAGTGACTTAAACATAAAAACTCGGAGGTCCGCGCGGATTTGGGGCCCCCCGGCGGCGCCTCCGGCGCCGCCCCTGGCGCGCTCCGCGCGCCAGGGAGGGGGGTCCAGCGCCGAGCCGAGAAATCCGCGCGGACCTCTGAGTTTTTACGTTGATGCCACTTTTTGTTCCCCTAGTGAAACCAGCGTGCTTCCAGCGCTTCGGCGCCACCGCCGTGCCGTCCTCCGGGACGACTGTCGGAGTCCTGTCCCGTCCTGTCTTGCAGGCTTCGGACGGCCTCTTGGGGGCCCTGCCGAGGGCGTGGTGCGCCTCTGGCGCGCCGGCTCTGCCCGGCTCTCTCCCGGAGAGGCTCGGAGGAGAAGCTCAGGGCATCCCCCGAAGACAGAGAGACGGCTTCTCGGGAGGCGCGAGGGCTTCTGAGAAGGCCCCCCTGCGTTCTGAGAAGGCCTGCTCCCCCTCACTTCCCTCAAGTCGGGCACGTCCCCCTACAGGAGGAGCATTCGAAAAAGGTTAAAACATAGTCTGGGGACGTTTTTTTTCTACTATTTCAGATTATTTTTGGGGGCGCTTTTAAATTTTTCTTCCGAACTCCGCCTGTAGGAGGACATGCCTGACCTAACACTTCCCCCCTGGGCTCGACGCCGAGTCTTGGATCCCTCTTGGGGCGGTCCTGCGGTAGTCTTGGGGGGCTCTGGGGCCCTCGTAAGGCCGTCCCTGGGCCGTCTTGAGGGGCTGCGGGTTCGTCGCAGGCTTCCTGGCGCCATCTTGAGCTGGAGAGCCTCGGAAGCACATCATCAAAGCCAGTCGGCTTTTCAATATGTGTTCGTTTTCGTGTTCATTGTTTTGTCGATCAGCGCGGGCCCTCGTACCCCCTCCCCCCCCCTATGGAGTAGATCTTGGTTGTTTTTGGCGCCTGTTTCGGGCAGGTGGAGTCTCTCCCCCAACAGGACGCACTGTTGCAAACTGTCGCAGCTAAGCTAAGCCCCATCCTCCGAACCCTACCCTCCTCCTCCTCCCCCCCTCCTCCTCCTCCCTCTCCTCTCCTCCTTCCTCCTCTTCCTCCTCCTCTCCCTCCTGCTCCTCCCTCCTCCCCCTCCTCCTCCTCCTCCTCCTCCTCCTCCTCCTCCCCCTCCTCCTTCCTCTCCTCCTCCTCCTCCTCCTCCTCCTCCTCCCCCTCCCCCTCCCCTTCCCCCAAATGCTCCCCGTGAGACCCGAAGGAACCTCCAAGAAGCGCGCACAAGGAGGCATCCACCGAAGCACTGGGAGGCCAAAATATTGAAGGGTGAACGCGGGAGGGGGAGGCAGAGGAGGAGGGGGAGGGGGGGCAGCTCCTGGGGCCGGGCGGGCCGCCCTGTGCTGGGCGCCGTGCATCCTGCAGCTGTCTTGAGGGGGTCGTGGCTCACCCCGGGGTCCGTCGCCCGGCCCCTGCCAGAGCTCGGCGGCGAGCGAGGGGGGGAGATGATCGGGGGCGGCAAAGAGGGGGGTGATGACTAGGGGAGGGGGTGGATGTTATGGCGTGGGCCATGATATTTCCTCCGATTTCATGGCGCCTCTTGTTTCATTACGTCCCTGGCTCCCACTTGGGCCGCGCACATGCCGCCGTCCATGATTTGCACCCCCCCTGTCGAACGCCCCCCTCTTGGCCGCCCCCGAGATGAGAAGGAGAAGGCCTTCTCTCAGCCACGCGCAGAGGGGGGTGGGGGGAGGGGGAAGGGCTTCTTAGAAACACCCCTGCTTCCTAGAAGGCGCGGGCCTTATCTATAGATGTAAGGCCGGCGCCTTCTAAGAAGCAGCCTCCTTCTAAGAAGCCCTCCCCCTCCCTCCACCCCCTTGTGCGGCGGGACTTCTCAGAAGCCCTCGCGCCGCCTGAGGAGTGTCTTCTGTCTTCGGGGAAGGCTCTCGGAAGACTTCTCAGGAGCCCGGTGGACTGCCGAGCCTTCCGAGAAGGCCCGCCCCTTCTCACTTCCCCCTTCGCTCGCCGCCGAAGAGCCGCTGGAGATTTTCAATTCGTGGGGGGTCTGCTGGTAGAGGTGGGCCCGCTGGACGGACTTCGGGGAGTTTACGACGAAGGCCCTGGGTTGGCTGTGCCCACCACCTGCAGAAAGTGGTCCCGCCCGACCCACGCTGCAGGCTAGGGCGCGGGGATAGTAAGGGCTGCACCCACCGCCAGCGACCTCCCCCCTTCCCCCCTTTGGGGCTGAGCCATCTTTTCGGGGCCTTCCCAGGGCCCCGTCAGGCCATCTCGAGGCCTCTCGGGGGCACCCTGGAGCCTCTGGGACCACCCCGTGGTCATGTTGGGCAATTTTGGGCCGGTCTCTGGGACCTCCTGGGCCCTCTCCTGGAGGCCTCTTGGGGGCGACTCGTGGCTGTCTTGGGGCCTTCCTGGGCCGTCCTGGTCGATCTTGGCGGCAGCTTGGAGCCCTCTGGGGAATCTTGGGACCTTCTCTTCGAAATCCGTAAGGGCTTCGCCCCCTGCCGCCGGCCCCCTCTCTCGGAGAATGCGCTATGCAAGAGCTATGTCATGAGGCCTGGGCGCTGTCGTGAAGCAGTATCGGAACTTCATGCGAGGCCGACTCGTAATGAGCAAAACCAATTGATCACCAGAGGGGTTACCACACTTGGCGATTGGTAAGACGTCGTGGCCCTACGGATCTGCGTGAGGGGTGCCGCCGAGTTTCAGACATGTGGCAAATCCCCTGTGTTTTTGGACCCTGACCCTGCCGATCTGCGTGAGGGGTGCTGCCGAATTTCAGAAATGTGGCAAGTCCCTTATGTTTTTGGACCCTGACCCTGCCGATCTGCGTGAGGGGTGCTGCCGAATTTCAGAAATGTGGCAAATCCTTTTTGTTTTTGGACCCTGACCCCGCCGATCTGCGTGAGGGGTGCTGCCGAATTTCAGACATGCGGCAAATCCCATGTGTTTTTGGACCCTGACCCTGCCGATCTGCGTGAGGGGTCCTACCGAATTCTAGAAATGTGGCAAGTCCCTTATGTTTTTGGACCCTGACCCTGCCGATCTGCGTGAGGAGTGCCACCGAATTTCAGAAATGTGGCAAATCCCGTGCGTTTTTGGACCCTGACCCCGCCGCTCTGCGTGAGGGGTGCCACCGAATGTCAGAAATGTTGCAAATTGCATGCGTTTTTTGGACCCTGACCCCGCCGATCTGCGTGAGGGGTGCCACCGAATTTTAGAAATGTGGCAAATCCCATGTGTTTTTGCACCCTGACCCCGCCGATCTGCGTGAGGGGGTTTAATTTTTCCCACCCCAGCAATTCAGACAATACGATTTCTTCGTAGTAAAAATGCCCGTTTTAGGCCTCTCCGCCTCGCGCGGTCCATCAACAAGGAACAGTAAGCAGCAAGAAGTCAAAAAGTAACAGTACGCAGCAAGAAGCAGAACTGTAACAGTGGAAACCGGAAGCTGCAACTGGTACAGGAAACTGCGAACTTCCGGCCTACAGCCTGGTGGCCCCACAAGGGGGCCGGCGGATTTGGGGATTTTGGGTCAGTCTGGTTCCATCAATCCCCATCCTCGCTGGGACATGGTACCTCTCAGCCCCACCATCCCACCACCACAGCTGGGGATATGCCCTTCGAAACTCGAAGGGATCAGCCTATCTCTCCATCTAGGGAGTTTATACTTGGCCAGTGGGGCCCAGGCCACACCAGTGGGGATAAGGGTCGCCTACACAGTGCTCATTGGGGCCGTCTTGAGTGATGTGTTCTGATGTGGAAGACGATCCATGGAGAGGCGGCATATTGCCAAACCTTTTCCTGACTTCTGAAGCATGTTTAACACATGCTTCTAAGGTGCTAACACATGTTTCAATAATGTTCAAAGCATGTCGAAGACATTGAAAATACATTCTCACTCAATGATAGAACGGTTGGAGTGTCCATTGTCATGGCGTCCACGAGTGTTTTTTCCTCCTCTCTGCATCCCCGGTACACCCACGACGGACTGCATGCTCTGAGCGGCTCCCGCCCTGCAGCCGCTTCGCTTCTCGTTTTGTTGTCTCCCTGCTGTGCCTCAGCTCGTTATCGGCGCGTCCCGCGTGAAGCGCGACCGGCGCCTGACCGCTTTCGCACCCTTGCGCGCGCCGACTCAAAGAAGTCCCTGCTCTGCCTCTCTCGGGGACGCCTTGGGGCCATTTTCGGCCAGCTCGGGCTTCTGAGAGGCCTTCCTCGGGGCCGTCCCGTGCGAGGGCCCAAGACAGCTCCGATGGACCAAGTAGCACGATACCCTTCGAAGGCTCCAGGAAGGACCCAGTACGCCCCCAAGGAGCCTTCCAGCAGGCACGAGGGAGAACAAGGCATGAGCAGATGTTTTTTTGGGGGGGTCTCCCAGCTGTTCTGGACAAGACGGCACCAGAGCGCCCCATGCGTCTCAGCCAAATTGCGCAAGACAGGCCCCGAGGTCCCCAGGCAGCCCCCAACGGGCGCCAGGACGCCACAAGATGCTTCAAGACGTCGTACAGGAAGCACACGGAGAGGGCCCCGACGAGCAACACCATGCCAAATAATGTGTCCTTGTGTGTCTTTTTTTCCTAGTGCGTTGGCGAAGTGTGTCTCGGGGTGCGCTTCGGATCCGAGAATGGCCCAAGAAGGTTTCCGAGGGCCCTCAATGAATGCCAGGACGGCCCAGGACAGTCCGTGAGAACATCCGGTCGGCCAAGGGCGTCATGCAAGGCTCCCGCCCGTACCCGTTCTGGCTCGAGCCATCGGGGCCCAATCCATAACATCTCACAAGATGACATGGCGCTTGACTGCCTTGATCGTCACACTGTGCCCGGGGATTGTATCACGGGCGCTGGAGCTTCGTAAAGTTGATTTCCGACGACGGGGTTTGCCGACCAAGGCAGCGGAGGAGTCTCAGGATTCTAACGGCTCGCTGATTGCGCTGACGTCCCGTGAGTCGGCTTGCGGCCGTCGCGGCAGACGTTCCAGACGCGTGGCATGGGGCGAGTGTTCTATTTGCAATCTGGCACCCTTCGATAGGCCGACGCTGTATGCGAAGGAGAGGGCAGATGGCTGTGGCGCGCGACTTCAGGAAATTATCTCTTGGGCAGGGGTGGCTGCACGGAGTGGGCTCAACTTCGGCGGCGTCGTCACGAATGGCATATGCCAGGAGTCCCACGGTGCTGACATCTTCCGTGCCGTGAGCGCCGTCTTGGGGCTGCAGTCCCCGACCGACTTGTTCATAGAGTTCCCTCCGGAGTTCGACCGCGAGTACAAGGGAGTCAACGATTTCCACAAAAAGTTCGCCAACGGCGACAAGAAGTTGAGAGAGTACGTTCCAACGGGCGATGTCCTTGTCCGAGACAACTGCCTGGCATGCGAGCTCGACAATCGCAACCTCTCGGAGTTCTTGTCTCCGAAGCTGTTGTTTTTCCTTCGGTACGAGTCCAAACTCGGCGGGCTTTACAAAAACATGACCATCCAGGGTCGACGCGAGCATCGGCCAGTGGTTGCTGTACACGTACGTCGAGGAGATGTGCGGCCCGGCACACCGTTTAGTTTATTCACGAATGAGCACGACTTTCAAAGACTGTCGCCAGATGATTGGTATTTCGAAGTGGTGGCTAGGATTTTGAAAGTGCTCCCCAATGCAGACGTACATGTGTTCAGTTCGACGGAGAATAAATATAATTCAAGCGATTTTGATGGCTTCCGGCAGCGAAATATGACCGTGCATTTGGATGGGGATATTCTTGATGCTTGGGCTGTTATGGCGCATGCGAATGTCCTCGTGATGGCGAAAAGCGCGTTTTCACATGTGCCAGCTTACCTTAACACGAATTGCATCCTTTTTCAGCCCTGGTGGCACAAGCCACTTCCTGGATGGATCATTGCTCGAGACGCTAATGGGACGGCCAGTGATGATTCGAGCCGCGGTGAGCCTTTTTTTGATATATCGGAACTGAGGAACTGTCTGGGTCGAGCGGATCGGCTCAGTCAGACGTGAGCATGCTGCAGTTTCGTAGACATCAGCATCAAGGAACATTCCGATGCAGTGAGTATCTTCGATGTGATTAAACTTGCTCTTTACACCCGGCGGGCAGTTGGTTCAGAAACAGATTTCCCAGGAGGCCCCGACAAGGTGTCTGGAGCGTCCAGAGATGGCCAAAGACGGTCCCAAGACTGGCCAAGAGGCCCAAAAGGCCACAAGGCCCACAGTGCCCCAAGAGGGCCTTAGTATAGCTTCAAGACGGCCTCACGAGGACGAAGAGTAGGAGGAGGAGGAGGAGGAGGAGGAGGAGGAGGAGGAGGAGGAAGAGGAGGAGGAGGAGGAGGGGGAGGGGGAGGAGGAGGAGGTGCAGGAGACGGAGGACGGAGAGGAGAAGGAGACGGAGGAGGATGAGGAGGAGGAGGATGAGGAGGAGGAGGAAGAGGAGGAGGAGGAGGAGGAGGAGGAGGAGGAGGAGGAGGAGGAGGAGGAGGAGGAGGAGGAGGAGTGGGAGGTCCGCTGGCCGCTTGGCTGGTTTGTTGGCCGGTCGGTTGGCAAGATGGCTGGGTTGTATAGTCTGATAGGTTTGTAGACTGCAGGTTAAGTGGGAGGGGGTGTGGGCTCAGGTCGCCATTTTGGGTCCGTAGCGTTCGGCTCAGGCCGACGCGCGGGTGTTCCGGGGGGCCGCGGTGCGGCCATAACCGCAGCCGTGCTAGTCCGCGGACTAGGGGCGCTGCTGCGGTGCCATGGCTGTGGGCTTCCTTGGGGCGCACCTGATGATCCTGGTTATGGGTGGTGCGTTCTCGGTCCAGGGGGCGCTGAGCTGGCTGCCGTTCGGGCGCGCGGGGGACGAGGTCCCAGCGCCGACGCCGCCAGCCCTGCCCGGACCGAAAGCCCTACCGACAGGCGGTGGGGGGCAAGGTAAAGGGCGGGGTCCGCCTGCCAAGCCCGCGCCTGAAGGAGGGAAGGGGCGAGGGCCGCAGGCCAAGCCCCCGGGGGTGCCAGGCACTCCCACGCTGCCGCGGGCGAGGTCGACGACAACGACCACCCCTGCGGGCACTGGGCGCGTAGGCAAGGGCGAGCCTTCGGGCAGCCCTGCTATGCCGGCGCGTGAGGAGAGCGACGGGCCCGTGGGCGCGCCTGGGCAGCCATCCGCCCCGGAGAACCCGACGGGCGATGGCGAGCTTGACCAGCCGCGCGGGCCGGATGGATACTGGGGGTGGAGCGGTTGGGTACCGCACCTGCCCCATTGGTGGGCCGGCCGGAGCACGCCTCCGCCGCCACCTCCGCCACCCACCCCGCCCCCTGAGACGGAGTCAGGTCCAGGCTGGGGCTTCGCCGCCTGGGTCTTCGAGTTCGTGGGCTACGGTGCGTGGGTGAGCTCCCCCGATCACGCGGGCACGATCCGCACGAGCGGTGGCTGGGTTGGATCCGCCATCGATCGGTTGGGCGTCAAGATGCTCGGCTACTGGTGGGAGACCGCGGTCCTTTGCTTCGCGTTGGGTATCTTCACGTTCGTGTTGGGGGCCCTGGCCTTCATCGTCAACACGGCGGCTCAGCCTATGCTGTGGATTGCCGGGGGGCTCCGCTGGGCGTGGTACCAGATTACCTGGTGCTGCCGGCGGCGCGGAGGCGACGGGCCCGGCGCCCACCCCCCCCCACCCCCCCGGCGCCCCTGCTGGTGCGCTGGCGCGGGCCGGGGTTAGGCGGCGTGGTGGAAACGGAGTTCTACACAGGGTGCGCGGCCGGGGAACTAATCGGGCGTGCAACCGCGTGCTCCTGCGTAAGCACGGGCAGGTGGCCCGTGTCAGCTGCAACTTCGCGGACCGGTATCGGCTGGACCGCCGCGGACTCAACATTGAGATCGGGCAGGTCCTGGGGTGCACCAGTCGCAAGTGGCGGCTGAACCTCGAGGAGACCGGCAACGTGCACCTATGCCGTGCCGTCGAGTGCGCATCTTGTCCGGTGGCACACCCCATGCATGTTGACCAGTACGCGGCCATCGACCACACGCAGATCGTGGACTTAGCCGAGCACGGAAAGGCTACAGCCTGCCGAGCAGTCGGCGTGGGGCTCCGGAAGGTATTCGGGGTCCTCAAATGGCTGCTCTGCCTGCCCTTGTCGGTGTGCGGATGGCTCTGCCGGGCCCGACCGGAGCCCCGCTACATCACTGACGCCGCGGGTTACCGCCGCCTGGATATCGATTCGGAGAGCGAGGTGGAGGCTGAGGAGCGCTCCTGCCAAGCCGCACAAGTTGGGGTGCAGTTAGCAGGCGGAGCACGCCCCCTCCAGCCTGAGGGGTGCGGGGGCCGAGGGATGCAGGAGGCGACTGTCTTGCTTCAGGAGGATGCAGAGGTATCGGATGTCCCTCAGCCGGGGCATTGCCTCAACGCCCAGGTGCATCTCTGCGCCCGCCATGCTCAGAAGTATCGGTCCACCCTCATCGGCCGCAAGTGCAGCCTTCCCACATGCCCCCGCATGGCGAAGGGTAGCTGCGGGGGGGCTCCGATGTGCGGGGATCACCTTCGACGGGACGAGGGCCACGGCGCGCGCGTCGAGGCGACGGTCCAGCCGGGGATCCTCGGGGACCTACGCCGTCGCATGAGAGCGCGGGTACCAAGCCCCGCCAAGGCGCGCGACTGGACCGCGCACGCCGCCGAGGGGGTAGGCGTAGCGCCAGGGGCGGCCTACCCCCCGCTCGCTGCGCCACCACCCCCCGCGGTGGCCCCGTCCGTCGATCTTGACCCTGCGAGGGTCCAGGCCCTGGCCTCAGGACCGCAGCCGCGTCGATCACGATCCGCGGAAGCGAGGGCCAGCGAACGCTCGCGGTCCGCCGACCGTGGAGCCCCGGGCGATCGGATCGCCCATCACGGGTGGCTTCAGGAGCCCATCCTCGTGAAGGTCTGCCCGATACTCCCAGACGACCCTCGGGGGGCCGAGGATGCATGCGGCGCGCCTCCGGCGAGTCCATGGTGCATTCTACTGGGTGAATGCGAGGGGCTCGACGTGCGAGGCACGGGCGGGGACGCCCGACTTATCATCGGGACCAGCCTCGAGGGTGTCAGGGTGGAGGTCCCAGCCAGTGAGGTCGTGCGGCATCCGCCCCCTCTGGAGGACGGGCGTTGCCCGATTGATTGGATCAGTCGGCTGCTGTACGAGGTCCCCCAAGGCGCACGGGAGGTGGGGTTGCGTGTCATCGCCCACCGCCTCCCGCAGGATCTGCTGGCGATGTTACGCCAGGAGCAATGGGGCGGTGTGGGCGTGGAGAGCGCGAGCGGCTGGAGGCGGCGCTACCTGACGAGCACGGGGCGCCAGCAGCTACAGCACGACCCGGGACGCACGCTTGGCCGCCACTGGCGGGGCGGCGCGCATGGGGCGCAGCTTGCGCCCGGCATGGAGGGCCTGCCCCGCCCAGCCCCAGTTGCAGCCCCACCGCGCCCGGCGGCGGCCGCCGCCAGCGCGGGCGAGGATGCTGAGGGGCCTGATCCCCTCGAGATATTTCTGGGTACCCTACGAGCGGAGGGTCTCAAGGGGCGAGGGGGGCAAGCAGCGGCCCTCAGCGCGCTGGGTATGACCGCTGACCTACTCGGGATTCCATTTGATCAGGCGGACCGGCAGCTGCGGAGGAGGGTCGCTCAAGTGGCGGCGGCGGGCCCCTTGGGGCCCGATCTGGAGCGCGCCCTCGCGGATCTGGAGGATGCGCAGCTGGGGGCGCGCGCGCGTGAGCGTGCCGCGGCCAGCGACAAGGTTCCCCTGCAGGGCAGCCTCTCACGCGAAGGGTCGCGGAGCCGCTAGGCGCGGGGGCGGGATCCCAGCCCGAGGCAGGTGCCCCGGCGTGAACTCTTCGGGGCCATGCCCGCCGTCCGACCCACGGACCCGCGTCGCGGCTTACTGGGCGATCGCGACTTCCTGGCGCGAGAGGGGCGCGGGGGCCCCGCTCGGGGGACCAATCCGCTCCTCGACGGGCCCTCGATCCTTGGGCAACTCACCGGCCAGTCGCCCCACGGGGGCGGGATGGGTGGAGAGCGTGCTGGTGGTCCGGACGACGCCGGGGCACCTGGGGCCCTGGGCGGCCTTGCGGCCGAGGCCGAAGCCCAGATCATCGAGCGGTTGGATCGCCAGAGTCGCCTCACCGAGCGCCGCGTCCTCGCCGCCGAGCGGCGGGCGCGGGCCACCGGGGGCGACAAGAAGGCCCGGGGCACCCGGGCGGGGATCGGCCGGGACGAGGAACTGGATCTCTACATGGCCAGAGGATGCAACGCCTTCGTGGTCGAGGCCTGCGAGGGGATCACTGGAAAGGATCTGTTCGACTCGCTCAAGCGCATGTGTGCGCGCTCCAAGAGCGCGCTCAAGACGATCGGGTTCCCCTGCCTGGTTACCGACCGCGTGGCGCACGGCTACGCGGCGCTCGCCTTCGGGACGGGCCCACGCGACCTGGGAGTGGATGGCTGCATCCCGGCGCGCGACGAGGACTTCGACGGCTACAGGCTCCCTGTGGACGACAAATTGGAGCCCCGCCAGCGGCCCGCCACACACATGGCGACTTGGTTTAAGAGGGCCCGGTGCGAGATCCAGATGTTCGAGTCCATCGTGGGAGTAGCGCACGGGGCTGAACGTCGGCGGTCACTGGGTTTCTTGGAGGCGGCCTTCGAGAGGGATCCCTCGGAGTTCCCAGACCACTGGGTCATGGATCTGTGGGAAGAACTCCGGAGTACCTGGGTCGAAGAGCTACGGGAGCTTTGACGTCGGATCTGCTGGGAGCTCGACACCGAGAACCCAAGGAAGGAGGACATCAAGTACATTCTGCTCATGCCGGAGAATGGATACGACCTGCCCCGAACGTTCGACCTCGGGGATCCGAATGCCTACTACCAGCAGATAGTGGTACCCCGGCGTAAGGCTGCGCTCGCGCGCCTCCTGAATGGGCAACTGAATGCCCACCTTACGAAGAGGCCGCCGAAGGCGGGAGGGGGTGATGAGATAGGCGAGTCCCAGCCCTCGGCGCCAGGCGACGACAGGCCCAAGGCGGGAGCTGGGCCCCAGCCGAAGGCGGGGCCCAAGGCGGGCACCGGTGCCCCAGCGGGGACTGCACCCAGGAGGGCGTACCCAGCGGGTGAGGACTTAACACGCCAGGAGCGTGCGCGCTCCGTGGCACGCGCACCTCGCAATAAGGACAACGTCCCCATTTGCTGGGGGGCTACCACGCACATGGGCTGCTCGCGGAAGGCTTGCGACTGCCCTAACTCCCATGGCCCCATCAAGTCAACGCGCGGGCTGGACTACACG